GGGGGGTCGCAAACTTAGTGGTAGTTTCGACCGGTCTCTGGCTGGTCGGTAAATCACTACAGTAACAAGGTATATCACTTTTGAAGCAGACAAGAGGAGTTTGCCAATGCTTGCAGTAGGAGCCGCGCTCGTAGAAATCGCAGTACTGATCACACTTGAACGGCAATGGTGGAGTTCTCTCATCTGTTTCGAGATTATAGACTATGCGAAGTCACTTCGCATAGTCTAGTCTGACACTTCGCCGAAGTGTTAGAATGGATGAAAAATATAGCATGTCAAATATCAAAAACTTTCTAAGAAGATATTGGAACATGTTGACCGAGAGTTCAGATTCAGCCTGGCATATGAGCCAGGCGGATCACCACCCACTATTCTCGACTATAGACTAGCTGCGGGAAAGGATTCTCATCCTGTTGGAGTTTTTGTCGCATCACTCTTGTTGAACAATTGCTTTCTGGTACATGGAGCTATCAAAAATGGTTCAATGCGTATAACACAAAGCCTCAGAGGCTTAGCCTCTTTCACATGTATCTTCGCAGTGTTACTCTATTGATCTTCGAACGTATCGCAATCCAAGGGCATGACCGTGGGCCAATTAGGCGTAGTATGCAGCAATGAGTCTTCAGAATGCCCACTGTATCCTTGAGCTAGACCTTGGCGAGTTTCGGTGAGAAACGCATTCGGAGTTCACTGTGAGTGACGCGCGTGAGGATGTGTCAATACCAACCTTCAAGTTCTCGTGCGTATCAACTTCTAATGGTCTGGCATCGCGGCCCCATTGGACATCTAGGTTGTTGACTGATATAGTCCTCTAGCATGCCTACGCTATGCGTCATAGAGATTCCTGGACAGTATGGTCCATTGGCATAGCGGCCTCAGTCGGGAAAATTGGTCTAATCTATGCAAAGTCTGCTAGTCCAGACAATGAATTATAATCTAAGCAAAAGCTGCTGTTCTATGCTGTTTTTGCTAAGCCATGCAATAAAAACCGTGTACGCTCTAACAGCAATGCTTAGAATAAGAGCGAGCGAGCGAAGCGAGCGAGCGAGCGAGCTAGTAATTTCTCA